AGAGAACGTCAAAGACGACCAGAACCATTGTAAGTTACTCATGTAATTCATAAATGGCACATAGTCTTGGGAGAGAAGTAAAACCAGAGGCTGCATATACTGAAATGATTATTTCTTAATTGTTCACACTTTTTGATGCCACAGACCCCCAAATTTGATGATTCCCATTGTAACCTCCTTCCTAAATTATAAAGACAGCTTTTAATTTCATGTCTGAAGACTCATTTAGTCATTCTATCATTTTGGGTACATATAATTGATGATAATTATAATTTTTCTAACCATTTTCTTCAGAAATGTCATATTTTATCCTTTAAGAGAAGACATACTACAAACCCAATTCCAAAAAAGTTGGGGCACTGTACAAATTGTGAGTAAAAAAGGAATGGAATAATTTACAAATCTCATAAACTTATATTTTATTCACAATAGAATATAGATAACATATCAAATGTTGAAAGTGAGACATTTTGAAATGTCATGCCAAATATTGGCTCATTTTGGATTTCATGAGAGCTACACATTCCAAAAAAGTTGGGACAGGTAGCAATAAGAGGCCGGAAAAATTAAATGTACATATAAGGAACAGCTGGAAGACCAATTTGCAACTTATTAGGTCAATTGGCAACATAATTGGGTATAAAAAGAGCTATCATTGCATTATGTTTTTATTCACAATTTGTACAGTGTCAGTATAAAATTGAGTTTCTATTTTGTTTTATTTTTCTCAGAACTTTTCCATGAACTCCCTAGAATGTTTTGCGGCCCATAGGGTCCTCAGACAGGGTTTAAAAACCTTGGATTTATAACATTTTGAAAACATTTACAGAGTTTCGCATTCTTTTTTTGTCATTTTGACAGATAAAAAAACGTATCTGGTGTGATGTGTTTTCCTGCTTAAGAAACATTTTCACAGTAAAGATAAAGAATGCTGATTTTTAAACTCCCCTGCAAAAACAGACCAGGAGAGAGACCTGAGTTAAAGGGATAGTTCACCCAAAAATGAAAATTCTGTCATTAGTTACTCACCCTCATATCGTTCCAAACCTGTAAGACCTTCGTTCATCTTCGGAACACAAATTAAGATATTTTTTATGAAATCTGAGAGCTTTCTGACCCTCCAAAGACAGCAAGGGTCCTACCACGTTTAAGGCCCAGAAAGGTACCACGAACCTCGACAAAATAGTGCATGTTACATGTGGTTCAAACATAATTTTATGAAGCTATGATAATACTTTTTGTGTGCAAAAAAACAGAAAAAAAACAACTTTATTCAACAATTATTCTCTCCCATGTTACCATCTACCACCACTAAGGAGAGTAACACAACGCATGTGCATGCTTTCCTTTGCTCGTAAACAAGGCGCAGCGCATGCATGTTCTACGTCAGCAGCATCACACGCATGCATCGTGTTATTCTCAATAATGGCGGAAAAAGCCAAGAACCCACAACTCACAGCTCTTGCTAATACAAAAAGAGCTGCTGCCACAGAAGTTCTTGTGATAGTCACATTAAAATACCTAGCATTTCAATATTTTACTGATGGAATAAAATAGAGCATGATGGAAATTTACAAGCATCCATCAGAGTGATGGACAATGATTATTCGTAGCACAAGCTCTCAGTATATCTGTAATGGGCCATAAAAAGCACTCTCATAATCGTAGATTCTTTTTAAGTTATGTTCATGTCAAAAATATATTTCTTATTTGGTATTTACTAACCCCTTAAACTCTCCATCCAGAAAAGCAATGGATCAGCACTGAAGATCAAACACTGTCAGGACTTGAGAAGGAGAGAATTTAAGGAGGGACCCATCACTCAAGCCTATGCTCCCAATCTGAACATCACAGGAATAAGCACACAGTTAGCATCTCCTCTAGTTTCTGCAGGTGGTCAACTGGTACTGACTTGGCACATTTATTGATTTTGCACATTTTGAAGTCTTTCACAGTAAAAATAAAGAAATAAAATAAATAATCCAATATTTTATGAGTTAATAAAATACAAACTTGGATTAGCAGGTCAATAATAGTAAATATCCTCACTTAATAGTAATAAAACAACACATTTTATTTGAATTAACAAAATACCTAGCACCTGAAACATTCCACAGTATTTTGAGATTTATAAATGCACTTGACCGGCCCTATGACTGCTGGAAAAACATTCATGAAACTGACCACGGAAGATATCATTATACAAATAAATTTAATAACAAATCAATCTAAAATGCACTAGAGTGGTCAAATAATAATAAAATAGACTAGCACACCATTGTTTTCCTCTGTAACACTCACACTTGTGCAATCCCTGAAAATCTGCCCTAAAATCAGGCATTGTTTGGAGATGTTTACAGCCGCTACTGTGTTCCCTGAAGAGTTATTTATAATATATATTATTAGAATAAAACTTGAAGTACTAAACTTTTTTTTTTTTAAATGGATACTTCCATGACTGAATCCTGTGTATATTAGAAAACCACTCATATATGTATATATTTATTGTGTATATTCCATGGATCACAGAAGAATAAACCATTATTGTCACAAACAGCTGAAATGTGTGAAATATGACACTTTTAAAGGGACTTCTCCATTCTGGTCTTTGGTAAAAAAAAAAAATTGTTAATTATTATGTTAAATTGCTTAACAAAAAGAGCTGTGTTAATTTATTTCTCTATGATTGTAGTGTATGGCAGTGTTGATTTTGTTAAATAAAATATTGTATTTTGAAGCCTTCGTTCCATTTGTGAGCCATGCTGTAGCTACACAAACCCTGACTGTATAATTGACTGGGCCTCTTACAACTTTTGCAACAGTATGTAAGGCAGGGCCTTTCAATCTGATAAACAGCGATGTATGACATGATGTACAGACATACAGTGGCCCCAAAAATTATTTGGATACTTAAACCACACTTATATACATATTAAAGGTGTCATATGATGCGATTTCAATTTTTCGTTTCTCTTTGGAGTGTTACAAGCTCTTGGTGCATAAAGAAGATCTGTAAAGTTGCAAAGACTAAAGTCTCAAATCCAAAGAGATATTCTTTATAAAAGTTAAGTAGCCACAGCTACCCAAAATGGCTCGTTCTAACACGCCCCCACATACCTACATCACTATCTGGGAAGATTTGCATAACGCCGCCCAAATGTAAAAGGCATAACTTTTATTCTCGCTGTAGTATTCTTTCCGCCTCCGCCATGTCGTGAAGGCGCTGTGTGCTTCGTTGTGAAAGCGAAACTACTTTGTTTGGCCTTACAAAAGAGGACAATATCGCTTCGTCATGCCTGGAGCTGAACCGTGCTGGTCGCTGAGGAAATACTTCAACTTCGCGCTGTGGATCGCTGGATCGGCTTTCACCGTGGACGAAGCGGAGTCCAGCCCGGGGTCGTCACATGTGGTTGCCGCAGGCATCACAGTATGGTAAGGGGTGTAACATTTCCGTCACACACTTGAGGAATTCGGCCAACCATAACACACTGACGCGTTTCAGAAAGGCGGGGCATAGAGGAGAAACAATAATGTACAGTATGTGGAAAATAATGTGTTTTTTGAACCTTAAACCGCATAAACACATTTCATTACACCAAATACACCAAATAATGTTCTTTTTAGCAGCATCATATGACCCCTTTAATAGTAATACTTCCTGCATGAATGTCATTAAGGTAACTAAATAAATGGATACTGCAAACAACTGATGCAAACAAACTTTAGAACTAACATATTAACTATTTTTAATATGGCATTTAAAATGACATTTTTTTCAAACTGTAGATTGTTTTATATTGTATAAATTAAAGCCAGACAATTTCAGTAGCCCCTCACTGCAGAACAAAGATCCAGGGGGCGGGGTTGGATCCACATCTAGGGGGTGGAGATGGTAGGTTTAGGGGTGGAGATGGGTGGGTTTAGGGATCAGGGGTTGGAGACCTGTAGGTTTAGGTATATGTAAGGTGGGATGAGTTGGATCTGGATTCAACCACGCCCCCTGGATCTTGTGTTCTGCAGTGAGGACCATCTCGACAATTTATGCTTTTTATAATAAAAGCTTTATTAGGTAACACTTTATTTTAAGGTGTCCTTGTTACACGTTACATGTACTTACTGTTATAATAACAATTGTTTATGTATAATTACATGCAAGTAACCCTAAGCCAAACCCTAATCATATAGTAAGAACATGTAGTTAATTAATATTACTCAGTACCAGTTACACTGTAACAAGGACACCATAAAATAAAGTGTAACCCTTTGTTAAAATCATTTAGAATAAATTCTCATTTATTTTATTATTTTATTATTTCTCTGAACCTTTCCACAGACCCCCTAGAACCATCTTGTGGACCCCAGCCTAAAAATCTCTAATTTACAATTTTACAATACGGTGCCACTGTTTGTCAGAGACAGTGAAGTAAAACGTGTTGTATCACAAAAAGCGTGATTTGTATATTAATTTTTTTATATAGTATCTTTGAAGCAAATTCTCAAGGTGAGAAAAACAAACTGGGAACAAAATGCATACGATAAGAGAATAAAATCAAGTAGGCCTAAAAGGCATCCTTAAAAAAAACAGGTTTTAGGTTTTTAGGTCAATAGGTTTTTAAGGCCTATTTTGATGTAAAATGCAATATACTAGATCCTAGTACTGGCCCCTGAAATCATTCCCAAGAACTATTTGTGATTATAAGTCCCTAAAGCTTTTCTGATTGTGCTTTTAATACACAAGCAAGGCTAACAGTAAAATGTCTTGTAAACCTAATTTACACTAAATGTAGTTTGTAATTTAGTTAGGTGAAATTATTTTAATTAACATTTACTACTATGGCAGACTGGAAAAATAATTACACTGATTCTACTCTTTAATATTAGGATTCTTTCTCTCTGACACACATAAAAAATACATTAAATCCTAAATATGAATGTTAGTGAATGCATAATCTTCTTTAATCAAAGGCGGGTCACAATTAGCAGCGGCCGTCTCCTGTGTGTGTATGTGTGTGTGTGTGTGTCGGAGATTTAGACCTAGGTGTTGCGAGGCTCGAGAGCAGTGTTAGCACAGCTAGCGCGAGGCTGCGTTCACTTCATTGAGAGTTAGCCGTTAGCCGCGAGCTCGTTTAAGTGAGTGATCATGGCGGCGGTGCGCAACCTGCGGGTGTCTGTGAAGTCGGAAAGCGCGTCCGATCGGTCAGAGTCAGACTCGGAATCAGACTCGGATCGAGATGCCCGGGAAGCGGAGCCCATGGAGGTGGAGGAGGGTGAGCCAGAGCTGGAGCCCATCCCTGTTCGCCGAAGTTTAAATGAGCTGTTGCCGGTGAGTTACGTTAGTCCGTAGGCCTCTTTCAAGCCACGGCCTCGCGTAGTACAGTAAGCCTGTCGTTGGTGAAGCCAGCGTGGTGAGTTCAGAGCTAGGCCACTATTCCTACTTTTTACAGGTTATGGTAATGTGTTTATGGTGGGTTATGCTACATTTGCATAATGTGTAGTGATGGTCTGTTGTTTAGGCGGATCTTGGAAAAGTGATGTAATTCTCTGGCCCAAGTTTCCTAATACGTTACTAACAGACTTTTAATTTGGCGCTCTGTTATTTCTATACTAATTGGTTAAGAACTGAAATTATTCTGGTTTATTTAGACAGTACAAAGCATTGTAGATATTGTAGAAAAGGTGATCACCTTGAATCTAACAAGTGAAAAGCTTCTGTTGTGTGTGCTGATCACATGGATATCTGTACGATTTCTACAGGACACCAGCAGACGCTATGAAAATAAGGCTGGCACCTTTATCACTGGAATCGATGTCACGTCTCAGGTAAGTGTCAGTTGGTTGTGTGAATATATAAGCCGGTCTACTAATGTACATGTTGTCCACAACATTTGTACGTGTTCAGGAGGCCATAGAGAAAAAGGAGAAGCGAGCGAGAAGATTTCATTTTCGCGCAGAGGAAAATCTGGCGCAGAGGAATGTTGTTCTAGACCGGGATTTGATGAAGAAAGGTAAGAAATATTACACGGCTAAAGCTCAACAATTGATTTAAAGTCGGCATGAAATTAAAATTCATCCAGTCTGTTTTTCAAATGCATGTTATACATCATATTGTGAGCAATTGATATGTGCGTGTTTAATTTAAAAAGAGTGTTTTGACCTTGTAATGTTTACATTTACATTTAGTCATTTAGTATCCAAAGTGACTTACAAATGAGGACAATAAAAGCAGTCAAAACTAACAAAAGAACAACAATATATAAGTGCAAATGACAAGTCTCGGTTAGCCTAACGCAGTACACATAGCAAGGTGTGTATATATATATATATATATATATATATATATATGTATATATTATACACACACACACAAAGAAAAACAAGTAAATAGAATAGAAAAAATAGAAAGCTAGCTAAAAAAAAAAAAATGAAATCAAACTGTCATGACTGGGCCTTATGGCGAGGACACCAGACTTGTCTTTG